GGTATGTTTTAGTCGATGGCTCTATCATATACGCCACTGGGACGTAGAAGGCTAGCCCCAGATGATCCTCGTTCGTCCATTAAGCACCACAGAAGTCTTTGTCGTGGCGCCCCTTGCTAGCTAAACCCCCACAATGCTCTCTCCTCGCCAACACTGAACTACCTGCAGTCTGAATGACGCCTCCTCGAGTTGCTACAGCGATAAACAGTAAGATGCTCCACCTGGTGGAACAACCAGGTACTACAGCTGATACACAACATACATGTAGAAAATTCACCATCTGTTAGAGCTTGTGAAGCCACCATACACCCTCCCTGCTCCGTGCTGCATTTCAGTCAGAACCCAACTGCTTTACAACAAGGTTTGTGACGACTTTAGTAAAGATTAAGGAACATGTTTTGTGGCCACTGGCGACTGCGCGATTGCAATTTTACTGCGGACATTAAACTTAGCATTTAATTTGGAGGAATCTCCAGACTGATCAACAGCTTCATTCCACAAGCTGTCAGAATGCTGAACTGCTGATCCGAACATGCAAACACTCCATTATTTAATTGCTTTTAGTTACTGGATCCCAAAGAAACACTCTCTCATCTTGTTTTTGCTACTGTTGTATGTACAGCACAATGACAATCGCTTAATAAAAATAACTGGAGCGATAGCTTCAAAATAATTAGTCGATCCTTAGTGTTAAGTGTTTGGGAGAAATGAGTAAGTGAATAAAGGAGCATATCTGAAACAACGACAGCTTTTGTGATCAACTGAATTTTTTATCTCGTGCCATCATGAGGTCAACATTGTTGTTTTTATGTGTATTGTTTTCTTTTATGAGGTACGATCAAAAAGTTCCAAGACTGTTCCTGTTGCTCGTGCACAGAGTGATTATGTCGTGCGATCCACATTGGAACTTGTGTTGTGCATGTTTTTGCCCATTTGCAATTTCACAGAGAGCAAACATCACGTTGTGTCAGCAGAAGGACGTTTCAGCCTTTATGTTGAGGATCATTACTGGTGACAAGAGGTTGGTCTGCGGTTAAGACCTAGAGACCAAACAGCAGCTTTTATCCAGTGAAAGAAGGTCAAGAGCGTACCAAGAGCATGCTCATCGTTGTATTCGATATTCACAGGGGTGTGCACCACTAATTCATCCTCCAAGGTCAGACTGTCAACACAGGATTCTACTGTAATGTCATGAAGTATCCAATGTTTTTGCTTTTTGTACATGCAGACCTTTTTTTTTGTAATGTAAAACGTTGACATAAGCATTCCAGTCTCATGTAATTGACTCTTGTAGTTAGTGGTAGAACACATAGATCCAGATTATACATTCAATCTGATATAAACTAAGGTCCAGTTACTGGCTTTTCTCAGAGCTTTGAACTGTATCTCACTGTCCTCCTCAACAGATGGAGTTTGACCCAATAAAAGAAGCTACTGCGGAATCAAAATTTATAATAGCAATAACTGTCCAAGTGAAAATCACACTCATGTTTTAGTTCTCCAGCCTCCAACTGTACTGTTTTGCTTCACTCTCATATTACTGAGTTGGTCAGAGTTGGTGACCAGATGGTGAATGCAGCAGAGCATTTAGCAGCAGAGAAGCCACATGTTTCCCCCAGGAGCTGGTAGAGACCCAAAACAGAGCAAAAAGAGAAGAAAACACCCATGAGGTGACCTTTAGCACAATCCAAACACGACTCGTAGCGACTGATAATGTCGCTCCGTAACCTTTCAAGCTGCTGTGGAACCTTGAGTAAAGATCACAAACTTAAAGATGATCCTTTAATCATTTCTTAATCTCGTCCTTGCTTTTTGCACGCCGGCTTTCCTTCTTTTCCTTCTGTTTGTTTTCTTCAGCGGCGAAAACTGAATTCCGATCTTTAAGTGCACTAAACAGCTTGTAGAGCCGTGAATGCGCTTTCACTGGTCTCGGAGAATCTTTCTGTTGTAGCTCTGCAGCGTTTTCTTAAAGGATTTGAGTGTGTAGGTAGCTCACAGGCGTTTCCACTCATTCATGACTAAAAAAACCCCTTACTCACCACATATGTATGTGCATATGGTTGTGCTTGAACTCGTGGTGCGTGTCTGCTGCAGTCTCAAGTTCAAATATTGTGCAGTCCTGTTTGCTGGCTGAAGGGACACAGTGACACCTGAGAGTGTTGGAGGGTTTGGTCTGAGTCCATGCTGTTACAGTAAGCCATTTGGCATCTGAGCTTCTCTGCCGCTACGCTTGTGCAGCTGTGAATGGAGAGCAAAGGAAAAAAAAACAAACTCCCAGATAAAACAATGCAACTGTGTCTATTACAACATGCCTCGCAGCCGCCGTTTACCAGCAGTTCAGCACCGACCAGATCATCCCAGTTAGTTTTATTTGTACTTTACAGCCGGTAAGAGCCCAGGCACACCCAAAACTGTCCAGGTGTTACGGGAAAACCATTTAAGTGATGATTTACATGAAAATAAAATTAGTCACAATGAACTCCGAGTGCTGTGGAGACGGAGTGTGTGTGTGTATGTGTGTGTGTGAGTGGGGGGGGATGGTGGATACTCAGCTTAGAAAAATATTGTGGTTTTGAGTGTGTGTGTGTCTGCATGTGTCACAATGAGCTGGTCAGGGAGTGCAAGTCAAGGCGGCGTGCGTCTTCGCAGGCTCGTGCACACGCCGATACATACGTGCACACATGGTTTTTGAGTGCATTTGCCTGTCTGTATGCTTCCCATATGGTTTTTATTGATCCGTGTCCCTGTTATACCCCTTCTGCTCCCTCTCCTTCTCTCCGTCTCTGTCTGTGTGCGCTGATGGTGAAGGAATGATGGAATGCTGGAGGGTAAATCTCTGGTTTCCTGGAAGCTGGTCTGGCTTTATCAGAAGCGGCTGTGACAATACTCGAGCTGATGGGCCAACCAAACGTCTTTCCTATAAGCACCGATCAGCCAACAGAAAGCCTTCCTGGAAGGAATAATCAGCGAACCGGAGGCCCTTCCTGGAAGCCCACTGTGGATTGCTAGTTGCAGGGCATATTCCTAGCCCTTTAATATTCTTTCCACCTTCTAGGCTCGACATGGCTGACGTTGGCAAGAGTTCAAAAATGAAATAAAACACACAAGAAGCTGTTGATAACACTTTGATTTTAATCAGACTGCAAGAACATTATTACTCAAGCTGGCTGGCTTTTTAAACAGCCTTGTGTCGTTGCTCAACTTGTTTCCTCGCGCTGCATTGAATGTTAAAGCTATGAGGGGTGGTGCCCAGAAACTTTGGTGTGAATGTTTTGATTGTTGAAAAAAAATATATATTAAAAAAAAAAAAAAAATCCTCCAAACCGAGCTCAGTTGTTTGAGAGCCGGGTGTTGTGCTTGGCCGGGACACTGTTGACAACTGTTGAGCTGGACACAGCAAGTCATAACCCGAAAAATGAATCATGGTGGAAAGACTTTCTGTGAGTGTGTGAGATTCACGAGAGGAGCGAAGGATACAGGCAAAATATTCCAGCTCCAACTCACCAGGCAACTATGGGGAACATAAAATGAGTCACCGTGAGCTGAGCTGGCTTATTTAGACAATGTGTTTGTGTGTAAAACTGGATTATTCTGGTTGGATTTTGGGAAGAAGGCTCACTCATTTCTGTTTGTCTCTTGACCTACGTCATTTTTGTCTGTAAGTGCCCACTCAATTTTCCTCTCATAAACAAATAGTGTCATCCACACTCGCACACATACACACAAGCGTCCAGAGACACACATTTTTCCTGTAAGTGTCACAGCGAAATGAGGAACTGTGGAACCAGGTTTTTGAATCATTGTAATTACCTGAATGGAGGTAAGCTGTAAAAACAGTTATTAAACATTATCCTCTCATTCCCACAGAAGTCTCGAGCTGGCTCGCATCCAGACAATGTGTGTAAAAGGTGTAACGCAAGTATTAGCGTGGAGCTGAACTTGATGCTCCGTCTACATCATTTAGCTTTTTTCTTTTTCTTTTTTTTAAAACCCTTTTCTCCTCAGGACTCCCTCATCTATCACACTCGCTCGCATAAAGACACCTCATTCGCTCCTTCTCATACACACACTAACACCAGGCAAGCCGTAAAAACTCAACTCAATTAAAGTGCCTCTTTCCTGGAAGCCAGCCTCAGACAGAGCACAAGGTATGCAGGGAATGGGAACCGTGTGTGTGTGTGTGTGTGTGTGTGTAGAGGGGGGGGTATTGAAATGAAGAAACTCACCTCCTGCTTAATTTTACCAGCAGCAATCTCGCTCGACCAACCACACACTCTGCGTTGGCTGCACACTAAAAAAAAAAACCACAGACCGTCGTAAATCTCCTCCACGTGGACCCTTTCACCTATTTGACCTCACACACACACACACACACACACACACACACACATATACGTCTATCTGCACACACTCTCCCCTGAGGACACCATCCTCTCTCAGGCCCTCAGGCAGGATGTATAAAACCCCGCTGCATTCCTTTTCCAGTTAAGTCCAGCCCAAAGTGAGCTTTCTACACAGTAACTGCTGTGTCAAAGCGTGCGTGCGCATTCGGCCTGACCGTGGCGCTTCTGGGAATCCCTTTGTTACTGCGTTCATCAGCACCACCCGCCCTCCACCCAGCCACTTCTTATACATACATTCCCTGATGCCTATGGAATTTACCCACAATGCTTCAGCGGGGAGAAAACGAGAAGTGAGGATTGCAGTAATTTTAACCCCATGACGAATCCTCATCATTTCTGCCACCACCGTCGCCGCCGCCGCTCCTCGTCGTAGCCCGGGCCCGCTGGTTCAAAGCCTGCCGACTGAATAAACACTGCTTTGTTTAACTAGGAAATCCCATTTGTCAGTAAATAATCTTGTTGTGAGGCCCGGAATTGCTGGCATACAGGCCGGCTCCCAACACATGACGGTAAGCGAGAGCGTTTCCAGTCAATATTGACTCAGTGGAGTAAGAGAAAGGAGAAGCAAACAGTGAAGCAACACACGGGGCAAATGCATTGACTTTTGTAAAAATAGTGCTCTTTAATATAAATTATTGAAATATTTTAGAAATATAAATATGTGCAACGTTCCTTTTTCATTTATTTTTGTAATGCTTTGTCATTTCAGATATTACAGCTTGTATTCTGCCAGACTAGTGGCCAGCCTTTTGCGAGAGAGTCTTTATAAAAGACAAATGATTCACATACACGTGGTCCACTGGTGCAGCACATGTAAGAAAAAAAAAAAAAAAAACAACTTGGTGTCGATGTGAGAAGGTTAAGACCCAGATTTGATTTAAAAAAAAAAACGTGTCGCTATGCTACGGTTCAGCGCGCCTGTCTCAAGTGGCCACGTGGGATCACAAAACGTCACGACGTGAAATGGCTACCACTCCAATATGGATCACAGGTAAGTACGAGCATGGCTCCCACACGTTTCTTTTTCTTTTTAAATCAAATCTGAGTCTTAGCATTTCGTTTTACAAAAGGCTTTTTTCTTTTAAGAATCACTTGAGGGGGGAAGTGTCGTGTTCCCTTGACATTCAGACAACCGTCCACTCCTGCTCCAGAGGTAACGATGGAAGGTAGATGGGGCAATAAAAAAAAAAAACACTTTTGTGAAGCGACAGGGACAAAACTTGTCAGCTCGTTTTGTCTCCTTCATGAAGGCAGAGAGCAAACAGACACTCGCTCAAACACATCAGGGCGGTTTAGCAAAAAATACTCAAAGAGGGTCTAAGAGACAGAATTAAGACGCAGCCGAGACTTTCTTTTTTTGCACGGGCTGTTATATTTACAGGAACCGTGTCCTGTTGAGCTCTATCATTTCCTCTAAGTCTGAGATATCAATCACACCATTGTTTTTGTTTAGTTGTATACCAGTATGTCTCCTCCCACTCCTCCCCCCCTCCCCCTGCCCTCCGTCCTTTTCAATTTCTTATTCCTAATCCTGTTTCCCGCTCCTCGTTCTCCTCGGTTGAATCCCTCTTCTCACCCTCTCCTATCTCTGGGATGATCATCGTCATTCCCCCCCCCAAGGAGCTTTACAGTGTCGCTGACATTTTTCCAGCCAGTCTGGATAAAAATAAGTTCTGCTGTTTCGTTTGGTCCCGTGCCAAGGCTTTTGTCTCAGTAACAAGCTTTTGTCTCGGCAACAGCAGTCTGCTTTCTGTCACTGTCAAAGTCGCGCATGCATCTTCGAAACAAAAAGAGAGGCAGAGTACGGTTAATGGAGGTGGAACAAGAAATAAACAGGAGCAGGAGAAAATGCTTTGTAATGCGTTTTTTTTTTTTTTTTTTGTCCCACGCTAACAAAGCCTTCATGTGGGCCTGTACCTGCATGTGTGTGTGTGTGTGTGTGTGTGCAGCTAGCGTGCATGACCACCCCACTCCCCTCTATGAGGCAACACTTGCGGGAAGCAGCAATGGAAATGTGTGCACGACCACAACACACAAATACACACACACACACACTCAGACAAACAAACAGTGTGCGTTCTCTGCGTTGGGCCCCTCGTTTGGACTTTGCTTTTTCTCTGCAGCTCCTCCTTCAGTTCGCTCCCTCTCAGCCTTTCTGCCGTCTTTCTCTCTGTCCAGTGATCCAAAGTGTTGTAAATGTCGTGCTGACAGAGGAGCTTTCTTCTTAAGCACATTAAACCCACCGAGCTCACTGGTGGGGGGGGTATCGATCACGCCTTCGCCGTCATCGTTAATATTGACCGATCAAGTTAATTTTCTACGAGGCACTGCTCTGCGTCTGAGTCAGTCATAGGAAACGTTGACCTTTGACCTCCGGCTTCGGCTGCCACTCGCACTAGTGGTCAGTTTTTGCAAGGCAGGATGGACGAGGTAATCGTTGGTTACCCAAATCACGCTTCTCATCCCAGACCTCGGGTCAGTGGGAGACTCTAGGTAGATAGTGTCCATCAGTGATTTAACAGGTCTGGGATCTTCTGGCCACTGTGGAAAGCCGACCTCACGTTAGCATCGAAGGGCTCAGTCTGGTCAGTCTCGGATGGTGAGGATGTTCTCGCGCGGAGAACTGGTCTGTGCGGTCCTCCTGGCACCTGGTCCATATAGCGGAACCTCTGCAGGTCCTGTCAGTCATATCGGAGCATCGTACTCCTCCAGGAAGTCTCTAAGTGTGTGCGGGAGCTGCTCAGTCCGCTCCGACGCCCCCAGGCCTCGGCTGTTCAGTGTCCTCCTGCACATGTGCTGCAGGGACGACAGAGAAGTTGAGAGGGGTCGCTGCAGCTCCAGGGGGACTTTCTCTCCACCGGTGTGGATCAGATACACGTTGCGCCCCTTCATTCTGGCCTCTCCTGGATTGCCCCCACTTGCCCCGTCTCTGGTCCTTCCAGTATCCGGCCCCTTCCCCATGTAATGCGCTATGAGTTTCAGCACACAATCAAACTGTGGAAGCTCTTGGGTGTTTTGGGGGTCCGGCTGTAGGAAGAAGCCGCCTCCCTCGCTGTGGATGCGCAGGTTCTTGGTTCCCCGAGCCGTCTGGACGGACAGGGTGAAGAAGTGGTGGTGGTCCGAGGAGTCGCGGATCAGGAAGGTGCCAGGGGGTTCAGAGCGCAGCAGGGAGCTGGCCTCCCGGCCCCCAACGGCCCCCCAGTAAAACCCACTCTCCTTGAGCTTACGCAGTGCACGCATCACCTGGAACAGGTAGAAAAATCCGCCATCATTAATATGCATACTCATCCAGGTGAGTTTCTAGACATCAGTAACACATGTGGCTGCAAACTCAGGTGTGACTGACCTGCTGGTAGTGTTCATGCGAGCTGAAGGGCTTGTAATGATGCGGGGTAAAGTTCGACCCCTGAACCCTGCCCTCCGGAGGGTTCACGCCGCTCATGGCGAGGGGGCTGCGTCCGCCGAAGGCTACCATGGCGCCATGGCCCCCTGCCTCTGCCCGCTGGTCGAGAGGCAGGGGGCCCAGGACAGGAGCTCCGAAGTGGACAGGTAGAAGGGGGTTTGGGGAGGAGGGAGAAGGGAGGGAGGGGGAGCGGGGAGAGGGCGGCGGGGTCACACACCGGGTCCAGGGCCCCGGGGCAGAGGAGTCCGATGCATCCAGAGAGGGGCTGGTAGAGGGCACCTAAACACAGCTGGAGGAAGGATGGAGCAGGGGTTAGGCATCTGGACCGATGACATGCAGAAGCAGGCAACAGTGGGGCAGCTGTGTGAAACTTGCACTCCTCCTTCATAAACAGTGACATAAATAAATGACCACTTTGCCACACTGGAGCTCTCAGTTTACCCCCATTAAATGCAGTTATGGCGACTGTGACAAATGCATAAGGCAGGACCGGGCAGGCAGGTTATATTTAGTTTAAATGAATCCTCTGCTTACTCGCACTGAGCTGCTGCTGCTGCTGCTGCTGCTGCTGCACCGAGCAGCCAGACAGCAACTGGATCCTGATTGCTTTCAATTGTCTTCGATCGGGCGCACCGCAACAAGGGATTTCTGAATCGGGGTCACTGTGAAAGAGTCCGGCGCGCTTTTCCTCCCTCTCTCTGCCCCTCTTTCACTAAATAACTGCCCGTCCCCGCTCGGAGGCCCCGCTCTCCGGTTTCACGGTGACTAAAAAGGTGTCCCGTCTGCTCTGGTTTCCTGTGATCCCCTGCAGGCTGCGGGGAAGCGGAGCCGGACGGAGCAGGACGGCGCTCGCTGGAAGCAGGAGGCGCCATAACGGTTCTGGTGTGGAAGTCGGTCCACCAGCTCACAAACCCAAACACTGCCCCTCCGGAACCGTCTGCACCAGCAGCCCGCAGCCACACGACAACTCCTCCGCTTTAATCCTCTCCACAACCGATCTGATTTTTTCCCCTCCAACACACACACACACACACACACACTTAAATAACGTTCAACGGACCGCTTTTTGGGTCGAGCTTCAACTTACCTTGCGGATATGTGGAGCCCCGCACCGCAGCCGCTCGACGCCGACGGAGAAGATATGCAAACTACCCGAAAGTAGTGCTAGATGAATTATTAATTCAGGCATTAAAATCCAACAGAAAAAAGTATCCAGAAAGTGTGTGGGTCGGTTTCAGTGAGCGGAGGAATGCGGCGGCGGTGATATCTGCCGGAGAGATCCCGTCCGTGTGTGGAGGAAGGTTACTGGAGGTTGTACTGTGAGTAAAGCCGATGTTCGTAAGGCTCCGCCTCCTCCGCGAGACAGCTCCTTCCAGTAAACACGCGCACGCCCCGCGCGCGCACGCAAAAAAGAGAACACGCGCGCGTGCTTTCTCTCTCGCTCTCTCTCTCTCGCGCGCGCAGCCTCCCTCCCTCCCTCCCGCTCCCCTGTTGGCAGATTGCCAATAAATAATCAGCGTGACCTTTGCCGGCTGTTTCCTGGTACTGGTGGGTTCCCTTCTCGACAAGGTGAAAAAGTTAAAAGCTGCACATTTGGCACAATAGAAAATCATATTCAGAGTCACATTTGTACGAGAGAATGTGCAGAAACACAAGCGCTGGGGCACATTCTGTAACAGCAACATGCTGCTAAATGCACCGCTGGATTCATTATGTGTTCATTCACATAATAATCTGAATGTGATTATTATCATCCTGCATTTAAGGTGTCATATTTATGAGACAGAATGTAAGTGGTTCATAACTAAAAGGGGGACATTATGTGCATAAAGCAACATGTACTTTTGCACATATTCACTCAGTATAGAAGTGAAAGTTCATATTCTGTTTCCTTTTGAGTCGTGTCACGATAGAAAATGATATTTGGTGAAAGAATCATGTTTATGCGACAGAATGTGGAGACACGCAAACAGCTTTACACATATAGTGATGATAATATGCTGTTAAATGTATTTGCTTAGTGATCTGAATCTGAATAATATGATGCAGCATTTAAATAATATATTAATGAAACAGAATCTAGAGACATATAGTTTTGGTGTTTTTTACATGTTGTGTAAAGATTGCCTAGAAAGTGATGCTGTGTAAAGAGTTTATAGATAAAATACTGTAGATTCAATGTTTTTTGCACAATCTGAACAATTCAAAACTACATTCTAGCAAAATGCACTTTTGATTCTTAGGTCTGAGTTCATGTTCTTCTTTCTGCAAAGAGCAGAACTGTGTAGTGGTGCAGCGCCATAAAACATTTGCACAGTTTTAATAGTTATTGAATTGAGTTAAATGAATATGCATGCAATCCCAAACTGCTTGAGTGTTTAAACTTTTCGATGCTCTTTTTTTTCTGTTTCCCTTTAGTCTCAGCTGTTTTTTTGTGCTGCTTCGATATGAACTTCTCTGCTGAGGTTTCATAAAAAAAAAAAAAAAAAGAAAAAAGCTGTACAAATGCGGTTAAAGTGTCACATTTATGCCACAGTATCTGGAGGTAAACAAGCAGCTTTACACATATTGTGATGATAACATGCTGCTAAATGCACCACTGGATCCATTTTTTTTTTTTGGAATGTGTTTATTTGCATAATAATCTGAATCTGAATACGATGATCCTGAAATTAGAGAATCACATTCAAAAGACAAACTGTAAAACAACATGTGTATAAAACGTGTATTTTGCACATATTCAGTAATCTGAATCTGAATCACATCTGTGTTGTCAAAGTTTATATTCTGCTTTATCGATGATGCAGAAGTTTGTAGGGATGCATCAAATTAATGTAGTGGCATAAAAAAGTTGCAATATCTGAATTGTTATATAATTAAGTTTTAATGATTGTGTTTATTTTCTTTATCTGTTTCCTTATGGTCTCAGTGTCTCTGGTGCTGCCGCAATGTCTGTTTCTCTGCTGAGGTTCAATAAAAAAACCTTCTTGACAAGGTAAAAAAAAAAGCTGCACGTGGCGTCGTGTTATACGTACTGTGATGGTAACACATGTTATCTGAACCTCAACAATTCACAACTATTTTGAAGTGAAATGCACATTTGATTCAGAAGTAAAAGTTCATATTCTGCTTTATTTGTACAGCAGAAAATTTTGCATTTTATACTTAAGGCCATAAGTTTGACTACAGCCGTCGAATAAATAATAATAATATTAAAATGTATGTAGCGCTCTTAAAAACAAGTGCTTTGACAGACAATTCAAAAGCGGGACACCCAAAAGTTAAGTCCATAGTCAGCAGTTAGGTCAAGTCAGGTTAAATCATTGTTATTTTAAACAACAGCTGTTGAGACAAAGTGGTTTCCAGTCCAGAAGGAAGATTCACCAAACAAGTTTTAATAATAAGGTTAAGACCCTACAGTATTACTTAAATCACAAACTGACCATACACATTTAAATATGAATTTGACAACTGTACAAGTGTTTGCTCAAGTATATAATCTGTGCTTTCCGTGTGTTTTTAAGTGTATTTTTCTTCTAGTTGTTATTCTGTTTCCGTCAGTCTTATCCTGTCTCTTGTGCTGCTGCAACATGTGAATTGTCTTACCTTAAAAGAGTCTAAAAATCTTCATTTGTTGCAGCAGGAAAGCGCACAGTGCTGCTGCTGTGGTTTCACTCCCAGTCTGCACGGCTTGACAGATGATTAACACCTGGCCAGCTACGAGCCGCCTAATGTTTAAAGATAAGATCCCTCTGGCCGCTGGGCTGTCAGGAAACATCCGACTTACTGTAAGTGCTCTTGAGCAACAAATAGCTATGTTGCTCTGCTGCCGAGCCTGACCTGAAATACTCTCTCACAGGCACAAGTCGACCATTTTAAGACTTGCTGTGTATGAATTACTGGAAACGTGCACTGACGATTGTGAAAAAATAGCATCTGCCAGTGTTGCATTGGACTGTTAATACATTTATGTGCAAGCAGCAATTTAATGTTTCATCTGTTCATATAAAAAGCAGCTAATAGAGCTATTATAATTAGATGTGTATTTGGCTGAACCTATTATTTACATTATATATACTGTTGGCAGTTTAATATTTATTCATATCTTACAATAAACTAAAAGCTCTAAATGTTGCAGATTTAAAAGTGGAATATTTTACCCCAAATGTAGTGGAGTAAAAGTAGTAGTAGTACAGAGCAGGAAAGGGAAACAGTGAAGTAAAGCACATAGCAATTTTACCTAAAGTGGTATTACTGGCGATAAGCAATACAAACACTAACAGAGTAGGATGTGATAAAGGGAAACAAAGATAACAGCTCATGTTTTTGGTAAATGGGCATCAATAAAACTGTAATAGCAATACTAATTTATGCTCTTGTCATGCTCTTAACAATAGTGTCATTATAGACAATGAATAGCATAAAATGGGTGTAGCAAGTTTAAGGTCCCTGTTTGCTCGGGTGCCCTCAGAAGCTCATTCCGGCCTGACAAAATCACTTACTGGATGGAACAAACGCCTTTACACAATACGTGCTCTGTGCATGACTGGAAACCTGCGATGACACCTGAGGTCACGCCTCAGCTTGACCTATGGGTGGGAGACATCAGACACATGGTAACTGAAATGTATCTGTAAGCAGGACTGATCCATCTGTTTTTATTACTATAAATTACTCTAAATGTATTCACTTACATCAGGGGTGTCCAATCCTGGTCCTCGAGGGCCACAATTCTGCATGTTTTAGATGTTTCCCTCTTCCAACACACCTGATTTAAATGTTCAGGATCGTTATCAGGCTTCTGCAGAGCTTGATGATGAGCTGATCATTTGAATTAGGTGTGTTGGAAGAGGGAAACATCTAAAACCTGCAGGATTGTGGCCCTCGAGGACCAGGATTGGACACCCCTGACCTACATGGTGCATTTAACAAGGTGACTACTATAAAACTTTAGTTATAAAGTAACTAGATGTAATTCAAAAGCATTTAAAAACAGAAATAATAAAGCAAGACGCAATATTTAGTTTAAACGTGTTGCTGTTGGTTAAAAACAATAGAGTAAAATGCAGCACCAGTGTAGCTCAAAGTACCACTGTTTGTTTCAGGAGGAACTGTGTCTGTCAGCTAACAGCGCTGTCAATAAAGTTCATCCAAAAGCTGTGCGCTGCAGCAATGGCGGCTCCCATGTCCTGGAGGAGGCTGGTGCACTCCGTGTACTCACCGGCCATCGCCGGGGTTTTTGCCCGAATATCAGACCGGCTGTTCCGTGCACGGGACAGAAGAGGAGGGTAAGAAACACGAGGATAAAAAAGAAAAGAAAACCGTGTTCTCCCGCCGCTGTCACGTCTCGTCTGTTCGCTGCTCCCTGTCGTGCAACATGCCCTGCTAATGTTGTCGCTGCTAGTGCATCCATTATCGGACACGTGCATTTTGTTGCTGTCAGTTTAACCCTGAATAAGGCACACGCTCAATCGCCAACGTGTAGCTCGTTTTGGGTTTAACTGACGTTTTAACATCACAAACTAAGTCAACTTAAGGTCACATTTGACGCATTTTAACCTCGGCATGCTGGTCATGTGACTTAGCAACCAGCAGCTAACCTTCAGGGAAAGTTTTTCTAACTGAAGGTCTGTACACTGTGTTCTTGTTGTTATGTAACATTGACTGTCATTTTACCCACTCTGACACCCGAAACCTCTCAGACCCCCACATTTACTGCTGTCCATTCATGTGAACTTCATGTTCCCTCCAGTTTATGATTTTACACGGGTGATAAAAACACCTGCAGGTGACTGTTGTTCGGGCCACTCAGTGGAACACCTGTGGTCTCTATGCAGCATGATGGGATGGTAGTCATCTTTAACAGCAAACAATAGGCCTTTTCAGACATCTTTGCTGTGTCATAGTGTCATAGCAGAAAAAGCACATGTGGAATTAGTAAAATTAAGAACAACTGCATTCCACTGAGATGAACTGGTTTCTAGGTTCTGCCAGCCAGCATGCTGGCTCGCTGTCATGACTTACTGGTAGAGGTCATGGATGTATGTCATTGTGAAAGTAATTGGTTTCACTTGTGGTTTTCCTGCAGTGACAAGTCAAAATTTCTGGCACAGTTGTTACGTTCAGCTATGTCAATGAAGTTGCTTTATGCAAGATTTAAAACCTAAGTAAGGCATTAAAATAGCAGCAAACAACTATCTGCAGTGTATAGATGTAGTAAAGTGATGAACAGTCGCACTCCCGCTGTGTGTGTGTTCTAATTTGGGACTTTCTATTCTATGTCATGCAGGTTTGTGCATTTGTGTCCCTCCCTTTGAAACTGCTGACCTTCCATGTGCTCGTAAACAGACTGAGATTGACCTCTCACAATGTCTCGGATAAACAAATCCAGCATTTAGCCAGTGAGCTGGTGTCTGTTTAGCTCTGTTCTCCTCTATAACAGACCGATCTCCACTGCACTTTGTCATGATCAGGCTGCACCTTATCACCATTCTGCTATAGGGGAAAGAAAAGCTTTGGCTTGTTTGTATTCCTTTACACCATTCACAATAGTCTGAATGAGAAGCCCGGGATGTAGCAACGGTGCCCCAGCAAGGCACTGAAGTGTTTTGGTGGAGAGAGAGCTTAGCCCTGTCATTTATAAGGCTAATTCACAGCAAAAACTAGCAGGCCTGCCAAACTGCATGATGTAAACTTCTGGCAAAACTTCAGCGTCCACGTATCTGCTCAGAAGTTGCTGTTTCCTGTAGCAAAGGGCATTTTTTAAAAACAGTTACACCCAGGTAGTAAAATGACAGGGGAAAACCAGATTATATATATGATGAGGAAATGTCAGGGCTATACCCAGAGTCTACATCCGATGAGTCAGACCGTTTCTGCTTCTGGCTTTGGGTGTCTGATTTCACGCATGCAACCCAAAAAACTGTGGAACCAGATACACACAGAGCGGAAAGAACAAGAGTCGGGTGGTGTGAAGATAACATTGCTCGAGTTGACAGTGACTTGTTACGGCCATTAAGTGTGTTTTATCATGCTTGCATGGCCTAATTTGATTTACAACCTCTCTGGCTGTAAACAAAAGTGTTGGAACGGAGGTGTGGCCAATGTGCTCGTCTGTTTTGGTCCAAGGTGCTGGTGCTTTACATCCAGTGATTTTCAGCGTCGCACACAGAACCTTTAGCGATGACGATATTGTCTTTAAGCGTTTCAGTGAACCGTGACGGTGTGAAAGAATGTTTTTTTTTTATTATTATCATTTTAGTCCAGACAAAATATAAACACTGTGGGAAATAGTGTGAAGTTCACTTCCTGGGTATTGTCTCTGCTTCTCTGAAGGAAACTGGGAGTGTGTTCCAATAATCACACTCCCATACTATGTAGTATGCCAGAAAAACATTTTGTCTTTCCCAAAAGTATCAGGACGTCCTACTACCTCCAGTTGCAGTATCCAAGCCAGCATGCTTTCCTGGGCATTCTTAGAAACAGCTCTCTCTGCAGCAGAAATCACGTCACATACGTCATCGTGTCTTATGTGAGTATAAACAAGCTTGAGCTGCCAGGTGACGGCTCATTTCTTACGACATATTGTGACGGATATCTATGCAAGACGATCAAAGTCTAAGGAACAATATTATTAAGTAATAGATGTCCCACTTATACGCTTACTGTATGTACTTTGTAAAGCCGGCTGCAGTGCGTGCTGAAGATCAGAAGAAAATGATGCAATTTGGGCAGAGCCTGTTGTAGTCGTCTGATATTTAGAATGAATGTTCACAAAACACATGTTGGTGTCACGTCCAGGTGTCCACATATTTTTGACCGTACAGTGTTTGTCTTATTAGAATACAAACCTTAGTGGCCTGGATTGGCATCAGAAGAAGCAGCTTCTCTGGTTTTCCGAATGACTCTGCTGTAGATTTGTTAAGAATGAGGATGTAAAGGCTTCACCAACGTTTCCCAGTCGGGCGGTTTTCGAAGTCTGAGGAAGATGTTTTTATTTTTAATCACATGCTTCAAATCAAGAGTCTTATGAGGCGTAAACAGCTCTTTTTTAAATTGAATTTACTGGCTCAAGCCTTGTAATGCGTCTAACTTAGTTAAATCTAAGGAAGTTAACTCCGTCTCTGTTACAGTCATCAAATAACTAATTAAATAACTATTTAGATGACATCCACACAGACAATATTACAGTTTGTTGATAGTGAGTGTGCACAGTTTCCTTCCTTCTACCCTCACCCTTCTTGAAATTAAAGAATCCACTTTAACTGTGTTTTGTGGAGACTTATGTCAACGTGGTCTGAGAGAAATACGAATGATGGATCCGCAGTTGCTGGAAAGTAGGTTCCTTATCTCCTGTAACACCGTCTTATCTTTTACAACTTACTGAAAACTGTTAAAGCTTTCAGGTCAGCTGAGTCACATCACAAACAGAATTCTATTACCGAGCTGGGTGTTTTTTGTTTGATAACTTTTGTAGTGCTATAAAAGACACGAGGAAGTCCTTCATACTGTGTTTTTATGGCTCGCTGAGTAAAATACTTGTTTATGATCAAATTCAAATTACAAATACCAGGGAAATCCCCCCTCCGTGTTTGCTGAGCAGCTCCCAGCTGAGCCCTGGACGGTGTTTTCTCTGGTAATGCGACTCTCAAACAACAAATACTCTGCATGTGTGAGAGTTCTGAATGATTTTGGATCATCATCAATATGAAGGAATGCAGGGGAATGACATGTGAGGCTCACAGTCATGTCTGAGGTAGCACTCCACCCCGTCTTTACTTGATGTGGCTGCATTGTCAGACTACATTGTGCGATTGTGTAGTAGAGACAAAAGGAGCCTGGTGTGTCTGGGTGAATATAGGACATAGACAAAGACAAAGTACAGACATTGATAAATCCTCCCACGAATGTGCGTCCCTAAAGATTAAAGGCAAACATGAGGAGATTACCAGTAAACTGTCTTTTTTGCTGAGACTACAGTCATGACTCAATAATCCGACCCTTAACAATCCTAAACCT